TGTAGAACTTTAATTTGACAGGTAGGTCCAATTTGTTCAAAAATGGGACGACCAATATCTTCATAAATGATTTCATAAGGGAGATCATGCAATTGRACCCAGATTTCTATTTGATTTAGCTGCCACTCATGTTGGGGACGACCAGGAATCCAAGATTTAAAAATAATCCATTGGCCATTAAGAGACCAGGGACCATCATTTTGAATAGTGAGGTAATCTTGTTCATATCAGAATCTTAATCTAAAGTGTCCCCATTGGAAAGGTGCTATCATAAGGTGGTTGGGCTTCATGTGCCAAAGTTCATACAAGCCTTGTTCGAGTTTAGAGAATTGGTCAGTAAGTTTTGGAAAGAGACGACAGATATAGGAGAATTGCCATTGCTTGTGAAGATTTGAAAGGATATGGGGTTGGATATCAACTAGGTCGATACCTTGCATGTTTAGTTCATGAAGCATGCGTTGGAATGCTTCATTGAGAGCATCGATATCATCCATGATTTGAGAAGGTAGAAAGGAGGGAGTCGAAAAGGAGAGGGTGAGGCCAAAGGAAAGACGAAGTTGCAGAATAAGGAGGAAGGAAAGAGAGAGGGAAAGTTGAGAACTAGGGGAAGAGGAAGAAGATGAGAAGACTAATGAGGCGGGATGAAAGACAGGAGGTAGAAGAAGTCAGGATAATGATTACCAAATTGTAGAGAGTTTAATCAAAGGGATGTACTCATTAATGGAAAACGCAGGCCGAAAAGACACGTAAAGCCTACTTGAAAAACTCAAAAAGACTAGCAAATATTTAGTTACAGTAACGAAACAAAAAAAGCACAGAAGTAACTAGAAAATGACTTGGTTAAGAAAAAGAAAAAGAAAGACTAGTTACTTAAAACAAGTAATAAAAGAAACAAAGAATAAACTATCAAGCAAACTTTCGCATAAAAAATTAACACTCAATTGATAAGCAAGACAATAAAACAAAAGATAGAACCCGAATAAATTAAGTATAGAGTAAGAAAAACAAACTGTTGAAGAGCTCTGCTCTTAAGAGAAAAAGGTGATAATCTTCTACGTGATTTTGCTTTGAACCTCTTGTCTCCTGGTATTCATCCAAATATTAAGTTGAGAAGTTGAGATATGCACCAACTGGTTACTTGGTAAGGTCTTTGGCTCTACTATTGTGCAAATCCCTTCGCCTCTTCTGTCCATGAATTTTTCAGAGGTTCTAGAGTTGTTGGGTCTGGGCCCTTCAATTAATTTGCCCAACCACCATCAACCACAATCCTAAGAACACTGTCTACTTGATTCTACCTTAGAGTCTTTGATAATTAGAATTCTTTTTCTTTGAAGATAACCGATTCAATCTCAAGGTATAAGACAATGAACAATGTCTTTTTTTGAAGGGTAGTTTTAACATTTTCAATAAATAAACTGATGGTCCATTAATGGCAAAGACCAACATGACACTTTTTGAAAATTTAAACACTGTAGTGACACGTTTTAAAATTTGGGTGCTAACTTGACACTACCCCCAAAATTCAGGGTACTAACGTAAAATTTTCCCAATATTATAATATAATCACATTGAATAGAGTCAAATTAGAATTCTATCCGAATACACAAATACATCATCTAAATTCAAGACAATCCAATCGGATGTTGAATGAGGCTACAAAATTTCATGTATCATTGACAATAATTCTAACAAGGAAAACCAAACCATATTGGTCAAATGATCTGGACTATTTAATTTCTTGATTAAATTTCAAAATAGGTCATGTTCACAGCACACGGTTACAAATATATTTGGCCTGGGTCATGAAGGAAAAGGTAGGGTTGCAATAGGGCTGGGTTAGTTCAAAATAAGATGAAACTCATGTTACGGTTAGAGTTGATTAGTATGAATCCAACTCTTTTGGCTAGATTAAAATGGGGTTAGTGACAATTATCACCTTAACTTCCACTTTGCAACAAATACCTCCTTCATTCAGTTAATTAATTTCAAAATATTTTCTCATTCAGTTATTTAAAATTTTTTAAATCCTCAAACCACCATTTTCTTATTTATTTGAACGATTTTTTATTTGATTAATTTTCAAAATATGATATTAAAGTCCTCTTAATCACACTAATAGATCCTTCCAGATTTCTGGCTTGATTCAATATTTAGATGAAATGGTAGAAATTTTTTCTAGATAGATATAAATTTAAGGTTTTGTTTGTTTTTGGGATAAATCTCTTAAACTACCCTCTACTGTTTAGGGTAATGACACATGGTACCGTACTATTGTCTTGTGGTAGTTAAAGTTTTCTGACGATTGTCATAATCCTTAAATTGGGACGGAAAAGTTAATTTTACATTTTTATCCYTTCGTTAACTCTCACTTAGATCGAATCATTTTGCAAATTACGTTTTTACCCTTCCTTAACGAAGGATCTAAACACACTCCTCCGATCTGCGGTTTGCTGTGAAACCTTTCTCAGCCTTCTCGTCTGCATCTTCTCCCACTGTCACCTGTAATCCGCGCAGGTGTGCCCGCATCACTGAATGGACGAGAAAGAAAGGAGGGATTGAGATTTCAGAGTGTTTGTTTGGTGGGTTCCCCTTTCTCAACTGGAGTACTGATTGCGTAACTGCAGATTGCCCATCTCGTCAATCTGCTCAAAACAAATCGGCATCTAGGTTTTCTTTTTCTTAATAGCGCTTCTGTGCTGCTTTTTTTTTCTTCTTTGGGGGTATCATTTCAATATGGTTCCCTGTTTTCCTTACTTTTGCAGTGTCGAGGCAGCAACTATTGGGGGTTTGGGGAAAAGGCCAGTGTCGAGGCAGCAACCGTTCCACTCCCTGTCTTTGGCCCCATCTTCGTCCCCTTTCGACGGCCAACCTATCTCTAATATCTGCACCTGCATTGACGAGGAAAGAGGAGCCAGTGCAACAAAAAACAGAAACTACGAGATTTGAACCCAGAAAGAGCTGAAAACGGAGAAACCAAAAGAAAAAAAAAAAAGGCTTGTTTTGCTTCTACATTGTTCTCAGGAAAATTGAACCTTTTTCTGAAAAACAGATGTCAACTTACTAATTCTTCTCCCCTTCTTGCCAAGAATGTTCTGTGTTCTAGTAGCTCAATGATGATCTCATTGTGCATTGGAATTACACGAACCTCAATGCCCGAGTACCCATCCTCAGCGAGCTCTCTCATAAGAACCTCATTAGAGTTCTGCAAAGAAAACTAGTTACCGCCGGATCTTGCAGATCCAGTGTGGTAACGAAACTGAAGTTTGGAAGTCTACGACCAGACCCGCTGAGGTGTGCCCAGATACGCCTTACCATCTTTGGCCTCAGCACCGACGCCGGAACTCCATTAACGCCTTCAGATAAGCTAATGGAGTTTCCTTGGCGGAGGTACACTAGTAAGGCGAAGGTACACTGCAAGCTAATGTAGTTTTGATCAACGGAAACTCCATTAATGCCTTCAGTCGGAGGTACACTGTAGTTTGATTCTCTGTGTATATTCTCGGGTTTGATTATCTGTGCGATCGGTTTCGGCACCAGCTGGCATCTTCGTCCGCTCCCATCCCCTCTTCATTCTACAATACAGGGATGGTGGGTTTAGTCTCAACATATATGGGACCGACGCGTAGTGCTGGAGGTGGTGGTGGCGGCGACGCGTGGATAGCGGTGCTCGTCCGCTAGCGGCTGTGGCATACCAGGTATGGCATCTGCAACTCCTAGATCTGCAACTCCCAGATCTGCTTCAAGCAGAGGGAAGGGATTCATCTGCAAAGGGGAGATGAAGGACGACTACCTAAAGTTCGAGTTCTGAGAGACACACGAAAGAGAGAGAGAGATTTGTCGAAAGAGAGAGACTTACAGCGGCAGAGCAACGGAACAGAGCACCGGGACGCATGGACAGGAGCTTCTGACTGCCGTCGACTAGCACCGGCAACCGTGTGGCCGCCGTTGCATGTGACGACAGAGCCGGCGAGGTCGAATTAAAACGAAAAAGGGTATTTTTGACTATAAAAGGGTAAATTGGGAATTGTAGACAAAATTATCAATCACCTCGCAAATAAGACCGATGGTTAGTAGGAGATGACTGGACAATTGTCAAAAAAACTTAGGTATGGCAAGATAATAGATAACAGTAAGGGTACCACGTGTCATTAGGTTAAACAGTAAGGGCAGTTTAAGAGATTTACTCTTGAATTTTTTTGTTTTATTGGATGAAGGGATGGATAATTTTTATATTTTAAGATGAGGAGAGACATTAATGTTAGTAAAATGAAATAAGAATTTGAAGAAATTTGTTTTTCCATGTCAATGAAATGATTCTTGTTATATCTTAGTTGGTGTTGTTTGGAGAAAATAAAAGTATTTTTGGATCTATTATGGTGTAAGAGAAAAGGGGAAGAAAAGAAAATAGGGAATATTTAGATGGATATTTTGGTAATTTAATGCATTCCATAATTTGACTTAATGAGTATTTGTTGCAAAACAAAAGTTTAGAGGGATTTTTGTTGTAAATGAAGACTCAAGTGTATAATTGTCATTTGACTCATATCATAGGATTCTTCTTAATTTGCCTTTTTAAGCCTGACAAGGCAAATTCATTAATCAAATACTCTTCATACAATCACAGATGAAAAATATTAAGGCTTGGTTTTGAAGAAATACAAATACAAATATGTATTGTATAAATGCATACAAAATATTAGATTTTGCATTCTATATATTTGTATTTACACTCTTTCTAAATATGTATTTGAAAGAAAAACAAATACGAATATATAGAGTGCAAAATATTATATTTTGTATAGATTTGTATTTATATTTCTTCCAAAGTAAGCCTAAGCCTAATGAACAATTGAGTGTGCCGATCATGTAAATTTGCCGAGCAGAGGTGTAATCTTCCTCGACAAGGCTCTATTCTCTACTTGACAGCGTCTCCCTCAATAATAAAATTATCAATGTCCAATTCATGGGCAAACTTCAGCCTTTCAAAGAGAGAAAGGGCCTCATCTTCAATCCCGTTTGGCATTATTCCTCCCTATTTCTATTCTTGAGGAAATCCCTATTTTGGACCAGGAATTCTATTTCTTGTTCCTGAGAAATAATTGTGGTATTTGACAATTTGTTTGTTAGGAATAGATTTTTTTTTGTTCTGTATATAGAAACAGAAACAACGTTTGGAAAGTCAATTCAATAGGTTATTATGTCAAAACACTAAACCAAAAAAAAAAGGTGAAATAATCAAATGATGAAAGTGGAAACAATAGGAAGAAGGAACAAATGTTGAAAATGGTAAACAATAAAATACATTGGGTGTTACCTGGACGAACGAGTTGTGAGAGGTATAGAAGAAATGACAAAATACTCATTCCTCAACAACATGTTTTCCTGGTGGAATGATGACAAGCGGGGTTTAGGCTAGCACATCCCCCGTCCCTCACACCCCAAACGGCCTCTCTCTGGGCTTTTTTACATCAAATTTACTCTTGCTGGGTGAATGGCCTATTGATAGGTGCATGACATTATATGTACCCATGGCAGGTCCAAATTTACAATATTTGCTAGGTGCAATGAATCAGGTTTGCATGTTTTTGTATCCAAACGATACAATGAATGGCCTATTGATTTTCCCTCTAGGTGAACTTTGCAGTAACTATGGCCAAGGAAAAACAATGAATGTCAAAAGTAAGTTATGAGAGGATTTTGTATTCGAATTCTAAAAAAGTAATTGGAACAGACAGAGATTCAATTTCTCTTAGTCCATTTGTTAAAACAAGCACAAGCTAGGGAAAATGTTACACTTGGGTTTAGCATTCTGTTTTCAGGCTTAGCAACCCTTTCATGGTTTTGGGCCCTTATAGAGGCTTTCCTGCCTGTGAGGCCCGGTCCGGTCCGTCGAAGCCCATACGTTAAGCCTGTTGCACAAACAAGATCAACAACTCAGATAAGGGGTGTTCTCGTCTCCTATGGGAAGACATTTTGTTTTTTTAAAACAACTTGGACATCAGCAAAAAGAATGGCTATACTGATTTGGCAGTTATTTTTGTTTTGAAAACAAATAATGGGGCTCAATTTGGGAAGAATGTAAATGCAAATATGTTCAGTGCAAAACCTYGTGTGTGTATTCTTCCCATACGGATCATCAGTTTTTTGGTTTACTCCAGGACCACCATTGAAACTTTGCAATTAGGCTTGTATAGTTTTCTCTACCTTACCCTATCTTTTCTTTCAAACCAAACATAACCCTTCTTTTTATTGATTCATCTGAGAGAGTCTAAGAAAAACAAAAAACAAAATGCACAGAAACAGAAAAAACTCAAATCAAAATTAAACGAGGGGTGATTACCGCCACAACATCAGCAAACAGAAGAAACTCAAGCTCACTAGGAGGTATAGAGAATTCCCTGTACCGAATCTTAGTGCAACCAAACACGGCCTTAGGTCACAGCTTTTTCTTTGATTTTTCTTTTGTACCAGGCCATGCCCAAATGTCCGCTGTTGTATTTGATGGCCCATACAAAATATATCATCCCTTCAAACCAGGCCCACCAAAGTTGAGCTCGTACCCCTGTGCAAACAATTCGATTCATTCCCTCGAAAAGAACTTTCACGACATTCAAATGGATTCACCAGGAGCCTTTCAAGGCCTCTTGTTTCTATGTACAAAGAAATTGGGCGTACATTTTTGTTGGATTCACTAGATTTCACCAAGCATCTGCTTGATTAGATTTGGATTTTGGATTCCCGACGAGGTCCAAACGGAAGGAAGTTGGTCTAAAACTGTGAAATGCCAATCAGATGGTTCAGTATTATCATCTAATCCGGACAACGATATGTTAGGGAGGGGTAATTTGGATTACATACAGACGGACAGCGAATAAACAGAAATCAGAACCGGGCCCAGTCTAAATAATAAAAAGCCCATACCGGGCCTTGTTTATACAAATGAAGATTCCCGATGAGTCCACCACCTAAACCTAATCATCCTATAAAGCAAGCAAGCAAGCGACCAACTGGGGACAAAACTTCTTTTAATTTCAATGATAACTCACCTAGTGGGCCGGGCTGGAATTATGAGAGTCCAATTGCATAAAAAGCAGGGGTCACGTACGCGTCCATGTCATGTCATTGGGGACAGAATGCAGGACTATGTGGGGCGTTGATAAGGTTGCTAAGCCTGTTGGATTGGACGGTGATGAGATTGTATTGTAGGCCTACGTCTGGGAACAGAGTGAAGTCTTGTATCTGACCCACATTATTCCTCCACGTCGCCATACTAGGTCGTTTATTGCTATTGTAGTGGTGGTGTTTTTAGTAGAGGCTGAGAGCCAATTGAATTGGAGTTTTCTGAAGCTTTTACCACTAGGACTAGGAAGTGTGTAGGTCCATCTACAAAGCTGTTGCACAGGGAGCACGCATCGTATCAATCCGTCGAGAACATCAGAACCAGAAGGCCCCATGGGCCCATTCACAGCTTTAAGCCTACCTATGTGTTTTGCTGTAGCGTAGCTCTTAATTTGTTACAGCCAAACTCGGACAGTTGGACGTTTCACATAAGCAACTCTCTAGGGCACTGTGCTGCTACTTTGCATCGATCTTACTTTAAAAAGAGAATCTACGTTTTTCTAAAATAACTAATGGGTTTGAACTTTGAACAAAAGCAAAGTGACAAAATTCTTTTTGCAGTCCCTTCCAAACAACTATTCTGATCAATTCTTTTTTTCCTTTCCCTTTTACGGGTTAATTTGCCACATCACCCTGGTGAGGATGGCCATTGTGTTACGGTACTATCTCCTTCTGTTTCTGGTATATATATATATCATCCATTAAGCTTCTATCGTGCCTTTTGTGATCAAAGAAATTAATCAGTATTCAGCCAATGCCCATTTGGTCATCTTCAATTGGAGAAAACCGCCCAAGTAATTCAATGTCCTCGACGGATTTTTTACAGTGTCCAACCCCCGCCGTTCAATACAATGTAACAGTGAGGGCGCGGGACAAATAGTTTGCCACCTGGCATATAGTTTACAAGGTACACGTAAAAATGGCGCC